ATCAATACAGAATGCAAGGACTTAAATCTGCATAATAATCTTATTCCTGTTTCTGGTAACCTCCTGTAACTGACTCCTCCCACCCCCAACATCCTCCTTTGTCATTAGCTGAAGATGATATTTAAGGTGGGGGCTTCAGCCATTTTTGGCAAGTTGCTCAGCTTGCCTGACCTCTCCCATGTATACATGTTATAACGCTTTGTTTAATTTTCTCCTGCTATTCTGTCTCACGTGAATTTAATTTGTTCTCTGGCCAGACAAACCCAGAGAGGGTAGAGGAAATGTCTTCCTCCCCTACAGTCTGAAATGGATGAGTTAAAGTCTCCTCATATTATTCTGTTTCTCTTTCTATTTCCTGTGGCTATGCTTTCAGTAACATGATTCTACATCATATAATGAATAAAGACTTATGCCTGTTTTAATCTTATCGTGTAATTTAACTTTTCCTATTGCAAAGAACTCCCACTTACAGATGAGGAAACTGAGGCTAAGAAGAGTGCAGTAATTTGCCCCATATTTCATAGTAAGTGCTTGGGATGGATGTCCAACTCAGGCCAGTCTGAAGCCTTGAACCTTAACAGAGAAATTCACACACACACACACACAGACATAGGGGAATAGATGTGAAAAGAAGAAAACACCTGAAATAATTTCCCTCATTTTTCTTGAGCTGGCAAAGTGATTCCAGATAAATCATGAATAGAGGCTGAGTTGTGCTAGAATTTTCCATGAAGAGCACTCAAAACGTCTTAGATTTTCTGGCACCCTCACTGCTGGGCAGCAGACGCTCCTTTTCTGCTGGTGTTCTTCATGGTGTGTCACCAGCTCTGCTGTCCTGCCGCCCACACAGAGGCACCAGGTAAGGACTTACAGGGCAACACCCCCGTCTCTCTGTGTGAAGAGCGCAATTGCTAGTTCCTAAGTAAACTACCTTTGTTTGTTTCACAGCACAGGGGTAGATCAAGTCTTCCAGAGTCTGTGTTCTACTCATTTGGAAAAACTGTGTCTAACCCTGCACACCGGCTTGAAAGTAAGTTTACATCTTGTAGTCTCAATACCGTCATCTTTAAATATTTCTATGTTAACAAATACCTCTACTTCGTTTCATTCACTATGTAAATTCATTCAAATAAAATGTAAATTGTGTGATAATTGTGGGCCAGAAGTCTTATTTTCATACAGATAAGAACTGAGGCAATTTCCTTGAAATAATGGTTTATGCAGATTTGACACGGACTCCAAACAGCTTTGACCAACACTGTTAACCACTTGACTACTTAAATGAAAACTAAAATAAACCTGTTGGAAATCCATCTAAAAAGGACACCGAGGGGTCTACCTGGTCTCTTAAAGTGATATGTTATTTTCAAGTGTCTCTAGCGATATCCTGATGTCACCATTCTCCTTGTCAGCTATCCAGAACAAGATGCTAACAATGTAAAGAGACTGTGTGCTGCCTTTCAAAACACCAAACCTTCAATATCAGAACCAGAAATTGTGACATGAATTTGTAAAAACAACATTCATTACTTGTAGCACCTTCCCTGCCTGGAACAGCGGCTGAACCAGCACAGCTCCAGGCTTCCTAGGCTTCCCCAGGGCTTTAGGAGCAGAAGTCAACTGAGCTGTTGTCTCAGGCCTTAATGAAACTGAAGAGAGGTTCTGGTTTTATTTGTTTCCTTCTTTTTTTTCTTAAATGTATGAATATTTGCCTAAGAATCTTTAGGACTAGAGACTGTAAAAAGCATCTTGTCGAATGATGACTCTTTGGTAAAGGTGCACATCTATGACAAGAGAAAAAATACTTCCATTCTGGAATATGCAAGTTTTATTAATTTAAATTCTTCAGGAAACTCAAGCCAGAGATGATTATAACAGCACACCTAGGAATCTGGGAGAGTGTAGCACCATTTTTAAATTCTCGTCTCTAACCAGCTCTTTGACACATAAGAAGAAAAATGTATAATGATAACCTTGGTGTGTTATGGTAAATTTCTAGCAGGTGTAAGGGTGTGTATGTGCATGTATGTGTGTGTGTATGTAGTATTTTCAATAGATACCACCAAAGATACATACTGAACAGCAATATTTTTCATCTTTAGAGCTATGTAAAATTTAGACTACAATAATAGAAATAACATGAAGACAAACCACAAAGATTATCAATGCTATCAAAACAATATTTGCCCAGTTAACTACAAGAGGATTTAAATAAATTCTTTAGTTAGACATGTAGTTACATAAGTAAATTGATTAACTTGGCAAATGACATTCAGAATGTGATGACCAAATTAAAAACAGAATTGGTAGTTTAAAAAGAAATCAATATATTAAGTGAAAATGTAAATTGTCAGTCAGTGAGTTACCTGAACTTGACAAAAACAGACGTGTCACTGAAAACGATTAAAGTGCACGAGAGAAATGTCCACCGCCTACTGGAGCTAATCCTGTGCCACCCACAACCTGCACCCTCCAATCACCCTCCTGACACTCAGCAACAACTCCGCTAAGAAGTCTGTCCTCATCCTTTCAACATAAAACTGTGTTAAGTAAAATCAAAGCTTTCTATCAGAATTTCTCTTCACAGCTGTTAGAATTTGTTTACCTGATTGCTTAAATGCCGTATAAAGTTTTTATAAAAAGCACTTTCAAGAACCATTCATTTCTCTAATTTTTGTCTTTTCCATTCTTGAGAGAAGCTAACTATAGGTACTCATTGCTCTTATTTTTCTTTCTGAGACAACTGGAATCATCAAGCTTTTGAAGACTTTTCTCTCATTTGCATGAGCCCTGCTCTATCACAGAAACATCTAAGAGAGGAGAAGAGTCAGGACCCCGTCTCCCAGGAGGCCCCCTGAGCAGCCCTGTGAACGGGGAGGTCTGGAGACATAATGTCTTGTGCCCTCTAGCTCCCTAAAAACGTCTCATTCCTCTCCCTACCACACGTGTTCAGGATTTCGTTTTCTTCCCTAAGCTTCAGAGACTGCCTTTCTTTAACCTTCTCTCTGTTTTACATTCTTCTAGTCGCTTCAGAAGTTCTGAGGGCAACTTTCACAGGCTGCTGGTGGAGAAAAGCACGTCAGATATTCTCAATGGTATGTATAATCAGATTGTACAAATAAGAACAACAGTCAGACTTATTTACATCCTACTGGCTGAGGAAAGTTCAGAGGAGCTGCTGGAACAAAGTGGAGTGCACCCACTGTGACTTCGTTCACAAGGTTTTCGGAGTCCAAGGAGGGAAGGTGAATGAGCCTCACACAAGAACAGGGCGGTGGCAAGTCTGCTGTGAGGAAGTGGGAGGAGGGGCTTTGAGTGAGCTGCTTGGCAATCGTGAGGAGCTGTCCAGAGTGATATTTGTTATTTCAGCACCAGGGCCACAGAATGGTAAACTCCAGAGAGCACTGAGGAACAGATCAACCGCAATGTCATGATCCGGCTAACTTTGAGGATAATAACTCAAGTTTTGAAGAAGGCACTAAGATGGCCACTTGTTTCATCTGGAAATACCCGCAACTCGAAAATCTACCATGAGCAAGTAGAACATAGTTAATTCTCTCAGGGCTGTCTTACAGAACTTTCTGTGTTATCCAATATGGCAGCCATTAGCCACGTGTGGCTATTGAGCATTTGAAATGTGGCTAAGTGTGACTGAGTAACTGAAGTTTTAATTTTATTAAATTTAATTTAAATAGACACACACAACTAGGGACTACCATATTGGACTCTCCAGCTCTAGATTTAAAAACAAACAGAAAACACACACAAGAAAAGCCTAAGGAAGGTTTTTCATAGCCATATACCCCTAGTGATGTCTGGAAATGAATGGCTCGATCAACTCCAAGAGGGTCCTCACCTAATACAGACCACCCTCCCAATGATGTGATCGCTCCTCTCTCTGTCCCTCCCTCCATATGTCTTTTATTCACTTTCTCATTCCCTCATACAACACTACAATGTGTCCACAAGGTCCAGTTCTACTCTCGTAAGTCATGAGTCCTACACTTTGCCCAAGTAATGTCTTTATTTCTTTTTTATGGATACTACACTATATTCTTTTCTTCTAAGTGTTAATATTCGTGTATACTATTTGGGAGTGTTTACCATTGTTTCTTACAGTAACATTTGCGTTGATTCATTTAGAGCTGTTTTTAGCACTGGTTTGCAGGATCGTAACCACATTATAAAGGACTTTCATTTGTATCTCTTTTATTCAAACAAATGTTTTCTTGCTTCATATAACATATGACATTCTTTTCTCTTTATACTACCTATGTAGATATTTGTTTTACATATTTGTGTATTTGGACAAATTTTATGTCAATTCAGTTCAGTTTTTATTTATATATTCTTTAACTAGATTACCAATATGAATAATTCATTTATACATTATTTTACCAATTGATGGGGACAGAAAAAGCAATAAGGACTTACACATTGATTCAGACTTATTTTTTGTTACAAGAACTATCCTCCTCATACTATTATCAAACATTTAAAACAGGCATATTCTGCAGCATAATTTCACACATTATTTTCTGTTCTATCACAGAATTCTCTCATCTCCAAATGTATAAGAAATAAAGAAAAAGAAATAGGGACAAGGTGAAAACAAGATGGGAAAAAAGGTAAGAGGTTCTAGAATTTCTCTGGAAGAAACCAAGACTCAGCACTTGTCTGGAGAGAATTCGGGACTAGGGCGGGACTCAGTGGTGAGTGTACCCGAGGGAGTGTGCGCTTGCGAAGAAAATGTTAGAGCGCAGAGACTGTGGGAAGCGTCCTGGGTCTGGGCAAGGCCTCAGCAGTCCAGGAAGGCTGTAGGATGGCAGAGGCAGGCAGACAGCCAGAAATCGCAAGGAAGGGCCTTAGGAAAACAGGGAGGGGAGTATGATGGGGAGGTGTCTGGCTCCAAGAGAGTCATTTTTGATGCTTCTTATAGCTGCTAATCTGCATGATGTTTTCATTCATGCCTGAAATAATTTAAATAGGAAAAGTTTTACCTGGGATGTCCTGAATTCCATGGGCCAGGGGTATGGCCTAGTCCTCGGCACCCTGCAGTGGGACAAACAGCTTGACCTAGAAGGATTTTCACATCATTTGCTCTTTCAGGAACTAAAAGAACATACCTTGAAAACACTCTCAGTAACGAAGAACTGTAAAGACTAAAATATGTAAATGATATTCATTGAGACGTCACAGATTAAAAACAAACATCACCAAAAAACACATATGGGTTAGTTATGATGTTTCGTAAAATTATTTAGCAGAAAATATCAGTGTTGTAATAGATAATGCTAACAACAACTAATACCAGGGGAAGATCAAAATAAATAGGCATTGAATAAATTTTTTTAAGAACCAGATAAAAGAACATTCACTTATTTCATTCAGAGAAAAATCCTAGTTAAGGCAGTACAGCCATGAGCTGGGAACCTGTGTGGGTGAGGTCTGGTTTGTGATTCCCCACGAGCTCCCACTGGACCACAGCAAGGCTCTCCCAAACGCCGGACAGACAGACACCAAGCTAGCAAATGGGGCCCGCCAAAGACAGCACACATGGCCCGACCACACTCCTCCAGTAGCTGTCAAGCTGTCTCCAGAAAGAAGTGCCTGGCCCACACTCTATCCTGCTCTACCCACTGCAGGCCAGAGACAAATCTGTCAAGCCCAAGGGGCAATCTATCTCTAAGGAGGATCAGGATTGAAACCCCCTTACTCTGTACTGTGATTTTCCTCAGTCTGCTCTTTCCCTCCTTCCCCCCTCACATACACACGCACAGACATCAGCTCCCAGAATGTTCTATCCCACGCTGTCAGACTGTTCTGGGCCTTATTTCCCTGACAGTCTCACACTTTCCTTCTCCCTCCCCAGCTCTCAGAATTCCATTTCCTCTTCAAGCTCCCTATTTCTTGTCCCCTTCTCAACATTTTCTCCATCTCCCAGCGGTAACTTAATCTGGCAGTTGGCTGGAGACGTTGTGTCCTGTCACCTTCTTCAGGAGAAACGTTCATTTTCTCACACCCCAAGTGCCTCAGAAGTGGTAGAGAAGTGAGTGCCCTCTTTTCCTCCCTGTGGCTCTTCTAGACTCTATTTCTTTCATATTCTTTGAGGCTGACAACACAAGCTCTATCACACTGGCCCTCTCGTTGCTCTCACCCTTTGGTCTCTGTCACCCCAGCATCAGGGAAGACCCTGCCCCCGGCTCACTGAGTTCTCCTCTGTCCCAGCCCCAACAGTCACTGTAGGCAGCCTCAGTAGCCACACGGTCATACTGGTCATCCACACGATGCCCTCACAGATCATTAACCACCTCATCCCCACTGGCCTCTTCCCCAAACCCACCTGAGCCACATACACAAAGAAAACCCTCCGGATCTTGTCATCATTCAAAATAGCACTGCGTCCCAAATCACTGAGCAAACAGCCTCTCTGACTGCAAAGTCGCATTGCAGGCAGCCCGCTAGCTCAGGTATCCCAGTTGCTGATGATGTTTTCAACAGCATTGGAATTTCCAGATCGCTGACTTCCCTGCTTTCCCATCTTCAGCTCCTCTCATCACAACTCCCTCCCCTCATCTTCGATCCCATCAACCAGTATTTGACCCTCCTCTGCAAGTAACTTAAACTCCCTTGCCTCTTTAACCTTTTGTCACATGGCTATGGAAAAAAAATAGTCAGCCATGGGTCAAGAGTACTATCCTGCCGCTCTGTGTTTTGCATAAGTTCTCTTGGGAAAAAAATTACACAACAGTGCAGATAGGGTGTTAGCAAAACTCCTGTCTTCAGTGTCACCTGAGCCCCTCTCCACTGCCCAAACTCTCCCTGCACCTCCCCGCTTTGGCTCTTAGTAGCTGAGCCTGCCTGTTACTTCACTGAGGAAACAGGAGCCTGCTCCCTGTGCCGTCATTTCCCCTTCTTCCTGTCCATCACAAGGCAGGGAGCATTCTCCTCTCCCCAAAGCAAACCACCTTTTTATGTTTATGATTGGATCTCACCCACATTCCATTCTTCACAATCTCTAGGCTATCAGATATTCCACTTGCTCCTGGAATATTCAACCCTTTGCACCAACATTTAAACATACTCCTCAGATCGCACTTCTCAAGCCACATCTATGTACCGTCTGAGGTCACTAACGACCTGGATTCATCAAGCCCAACACGCACTGCTGAGCACACGCGCGCTCAACGTCCTGGCGCTGTTCATCACAGCTGGCTACCTCCTTCTCAAGTTGTGTTGGCTGCCGGCGTGGTGACATCACACACTTATGGTTTCCCTTCTGCAGAGAGGCATTCTCTTGATATCTCCTTTGCCAGCTTTTCCTCCTTTAGGCAGCCTTAAAATGTCAGAGAACCTCAAAGTTCGTTCCTGAGCCATTCATTTCCACAGTTTCGTTTACCAACCGTATGCTGTAGATGCTCATAGGGTACAGCCCAGACATTCTAAGTTCCAGATCAATACATACAACTCCATACATCTCCAGCGGGATCTCTTAAAGGCTTTTCAAATGCAACATGGTGCAAACTGAAGTAATTATCTTGTCCCCCTAACTTCCTTTTCCTCCAGAGCTGCTCATCACAATCAATGCCAGAAACCTGGAGGGAACCCTTAACATGTTTGCTCCCTCATTCCACTCCACCCCAACTTCCAATCAATTCTCAGTCTCCTAAATATTTCTTTAACCGGCCAATTTATCTTCATCTCTACTGTGACTGGCCCAATCCATGTTGCCATCATTTCCTCCTTGGAGAACTTCAGGAGCTGTTCTTAACTCATTCCAATCTATTCTCCACCTTGCAACCAGAGTGATATTTTCAAAACACAAAACATTTTGCATAGCATTAACCTCCACCACAAATTAAGTGATGATTGGTTTAATGTTTGTCTCTCTCATTAGACCATAAGCTACAAGCTTGAGTGTACTGCACCATTGTGTCACCAGCACCTCGTCTGACAACAGAGTTGGTGCTCAGGAAATGCTTACTGAATGAACAGAGGAGTATCCCACAGTTCTGCTCTCAAGATGCTCATAGTCAAGAAAAGAGGCTTACATAGAAATCAGAAATCTGCATTACAGTGTGATTATGCTGCATGAAAATACTGACTGAGGCTGGGTCCCAATGTGTGATGATATTAGAACAAATATTTATACCTCAAATAAATTTTCATTAAATTTATTGAACAGTAAGAAAGTATGTCTTAGACATTTATTATGCTCTCACAACTTTGCAAAACACCTTGAGGGATAAGTAGAGAGCAATAAGAGCTGTTCTATCCAAAGGCGGCTTTTAGCCACAGCTTTAAAAAAAGAAAACAACTTTTGGGGCCGGCCCCATGGCCTAATGGTTAAGTTTGCATGCTCCACTTCAGCAGCCCGGGTTTGGAGGTTGAGATCCCAGGCACGGACCTACACCACTTGTCAGCTATGCTGTGGCTATGACCACATATGAAATAGAGGAAGACCAGCACAGATGTTAGCTCAGGGCCAATCTTCCTCACCAAAAAAAGAAAAGTTTTAAAGAAATCTGAGGAATTGATGTTTAAAAATTGTAAACAAGTTCTTAATTAAGATGTATGTTTGTGTTAGTCAGTAAATAAAAGGATCTCTGAGAAAAGAAAGAAACACAGGGCATAAATAGACTTCTCCAAACTGCGCCTCAAAATCCAGCACCAAGGTGACAAACACGAAGGCCTGGAACGTGAAACCCACAAACCAACCAGCCAACCCACCAATATTCTCCAGCAGCTGGCCCGGTGCAGCTCTGTGTGGACAACATTCCAGGAAACTCTCAATGAACTCCACTTAGTATTTTTTTTCAGGACTATTTCAATGCACTTGATTAAATGAAGGTTTAAAGTGATATTTTACACGTTCTTCAATGCATATTTATTTGTGGAGCCCTGATGGGTGTCATAATCCCCTCCTTGTTATATGTGAAAGGAGAGGTATGACCTCAACTATGGGGAGAAGAGTTATTACACTAAGAGCAGTAGCAAGGAAAATAACAAAGAAGGGGTCAAAAAGAACATGCAATGAAAATGCAGAGAAGTTACTGCAGTAACTTCCTTGGCAAATTTTGTAAGATGAAGTTTAATGGGTTGACTCAATGGCGAATTAGACAGAGAGCCATCTGTTGGGTAAAAGAAATCTGTGAATTCTATAATAGTTCATATTATTGCCTTTAGGATAAAGGGAACTTGTGATAAAAATAGTGTTTTTTCCCAGAAAAAACCTGCACATTTTCACCCAGAATATCTTACTTGTAATGTGGATATTTAGAGAATTAGGTCTCAAGAAAAAATATTCTCAGCTTGAAATCACCTCTTCAGAGAGACTGTCCCTGACCTCATTACCCTTTCTTGCCTTCTTTTTATCACTTTACTTGAAATTATCTTCCTAGTTCATCTGCTTATCCCCTGTCAGATGAGTCACGTGAGTGAAGACTTTCACCTTATCTAACTTGTTTACCACTGTATCCCCCAGTAGATACTGAATAAGGATGATTTATGAATGAGGAAATCACCTTAAAGAAAATAACAATGAACACTGGTAAGCATTATTTTGATATATCCTGACCACAATGCTGTGAGACACTCATTATTTTATTCTCATTTCAGAACTTCGGTTGTCTAAAATCAATCTTCAGTCTCCCAAATACTGCGAGCCACTTGCTATATCTAGCAGCAGGAATAACTGCTAATTTATTCCACGTCTTCTATGAAAATCTTACTCAAGCAGGAGCAAAACTAATAGTAGAGTTCTTTTTGCAAGGACAGAAAAGAAATAGAAAGTATTCTTGGAAACTGGAAACTACCTGAGTAACGGACAATGCTTCAAACTACATGCACTAACGTGTCCTCGTGGATCCCCATTCACATGGAATTACACGGTTACCATACACAGCCAGGGCAGTCACTTTGGTTTGCACTCTATACCTACTTCCTCCTTTCTTGATAACCGAATCCTGACTGGGTTCAGAGCAGCAATGCGCCCCGCTGAGAATGCTGGCGTTCCCAGTCTCTCTCACATCCAGATGTGGCCACTCGACAATGTATCTCAGACAAGACCTAGGGAAAGTAACGCAGGCTGTCTATAGATGCTTTCCCTCCCGACTACAAGGGTACT